AGGGGGGCATAGAGAAACAATAATGTACAGTATGTGGAAAATAATGTGTTTTTTGAACCTTAAACCGCATAAACACATTTCATTACACCAAATACTGTTCTTTTTAGCAGCATCATATGACCCCTTTAATAAAAAAAATCTTACATAATGCCTTTAATATGTCATTAGATGTAACAATGCGCTTTATTTCACTTCTTTTGGACTGATGAACTGCAACACCCGACACCCGCAGACTGCAATGACAATTTTTAATATAACTCCGACTGGATTCGTCTGAAACAAGAAAGTCATATACACCTAGGATGCCTTGAGGGTGAGTAATTCATGGGCTAATTTTCATGTTTGGGTGAACCCTTTAAGTTTTTCCATTGGCTCAACATGAAATTTCACATTAACTCAATGTTTAACAAGTCATTAACATGGTGAGTTGGAAATGTATGATTTCTTTTTGTTTACAGCTTTTGTGAGAATGATCATTTTTATTAAATATTGGCAACTTTTTGCTGACTACGAACATAACATCATAAAACAATTTTTAGAACTACAGCATAAAAACAAAGATATTTCCAGTTAAGAATACAACTATCTTCCCTTTTGCCTGCAGACCGCATCTGCCATCTCTGCTGATCCAGTCTGTCAGTTCTGTCTACAGCCATGGCAGGAACCTCTGCTGCTACTGTAATGGATTGTGGATCTTTAGCTGCAGGAACGTCTGTAGCAGCCAGGAAAGGAACATCTGGGATTGGAGAGGCTGAGACAACAAGCTGTGGCAGCCTTGACCACTGGCATGACTTGAACCTCTGCATCCATGACAGTAAACTCTGCACGATTAAGCATTAAAGGGGTCATGTGATGCGATTTCAAGTTTTCCTTTGTCTTTGGAGTGTTACAATGTTTTTTGAACATTAAAGCATGTCAACATATTCTGTTACACCAAATACACAAAATAACGATCTTTAAAAAAGCATCATATGACCCCTTTAAAAGATTGCAATCTTGTGTTTTGCTGCTGCCCAAATTAAAATTCTATTTAAGTATTTAATTGAAATTAATT